TCAGCAGCATCATCAACATCATCATCATCATCATCATCATCATCATCATCATCATCATCATCAGTTGCATCATCATCATCATCATCACCATCATCATCATCAGTTGCATCTGGATCTGCATGTGCATGTGCATGTGCATGTACATGTGCACGTGCACGTGCACGTGCATGTACATCATCATCAGATTCGTCATCAGCATCATCAGCAGCACCATCATCATCATCATAATCATCATCATCATCAGTTGCATCATCAGCTTCTTCATCATCATCATCATCATCATCATCATCATCGTCATCGTCATCGTCATCATCATCATCATCATCATCATCATCATCATCATCATCATAATCATCATCATCATCATCATCATCAGTTGCATCCGGATCTGCATGTGCATGTGCATGTGCGTGTACATGTGCATGTGCACGTGCACGTGCATGTGCATGTGCATGTGCATGTGCATGTGCATGTGCATCATCATCATGTTCGTCACCAGCATCATCAGCATTACCACCATCAGCATCATCATCATCATCATCAGTTTCATCATCAGCCTCATCATCATCAACATCATCATCATCATCCTCACCATCACCATCATCATCATCATCATCATCATCATCCTCGTCGTCGTCGTCATCGTCGTCGTCATCTTCATCATCATCTCCCTCTGGGCCTCCTAGAGGGGGGTCGAAGGTGATGGGGTCGGTGGAGGGCGCCGCATCGCCGATGCGAAGGGAACGAACAACGACGCAAACATTCATATTCCTGAGGCCCGCGCGGGCTTCTCGGATCCACGCTGGGGCCCCCCTGGCGGCGCCTCCGGCACGCCCCTGGCGCGCTCTTCGCGCGCCAGGGAGGGGGGTCCAGCGCCGATTCGAGCAATCCGCGCGGGCCTCCGAGTTTTCTGTTTATGTCACTGTTCGTTCCGCCAGATGCATCGCCGACGCGGCTCGACGTGGAGCCCGATGCTCTCTCCCCGACGACGCCGATGCATCGGCGAGGCGGCGCCATCCTCCGACCCCGTCTGCTCGGACCCCAGTTGGGGAGGCCTCTTCGAGGGGAGCCGCACCTCCTCTTGGTCGCGGAAAAGGTGCCACGGATCAGATGAGCGAAAGGTTACGATAGGTTCGCGTCGTGTCGACCGGCGCCGACCCCGCCGCCGGCGTTCAACGTTGAACGCCGCCGGCGACCCAGAATCAGTCGACGTTGAACGATCGGACGTTTCGGAAACGGCCGATCGTTCAAGGTTCAAAGAAGATCCCCGCGGTGTCAGGAACCAACGCGGGGGTCGGGACGACATGAACCTGCCGTATGGCACTGAGAGCTAACACGTTCCCAGAGTTCCTGGCATGCCACACGGGCTGCAGAAACGATGGCCGCCAGATACCTAGGAAGTCCTGGAAGGCATCCTGAGCCAATCGCAACATGACATCATTCTCGTGTGAGTGCTCCGAGGGAAACGGGTCTTGAGGTCTGTTTCCCGTGTTTGGCCTCTTCGGGCCATCCACGGCCCCAGGCTTGCGGTATCAGGGCTCAACATAAATCGAGGCTTCGCCTGGGACATCGGGGGAAAAAGCTACGGGGGAAGAGTGACTTGTCTGACGATGTTCCAGGCGAAGCCCTGAATCATGAAACAGTCCGCCAAGTTTTTGGGGGGGGCGACTTTCGCGGGGCCTGTAAATCCCCTGACGACTGATTGGTTCCTCGTGTGGATTGTGGATTCCCAGGGCCAAACAAGAAGACCATGACTTCTTGCCAACGTTCAGGTTTCGCTTGGGACATCGTCAGAAAAATATGTCTTTCTCCTATACTTGTTTCCCGATGTCTCAGGCGAAACCTGGCTTTTGCATCAGGACTCAACATCCATCAGGGTATCGCCTGGGACATCGGAGACAAGCTGCGGGGGGAAAGTCTGACGATGTTCCAGGCGAAGCCTTGAACTTTTGGCCCGATTTGCTCCGGGCCTGGGAATCCCCAGACGACTGTTTGATTCCATGTGTGGATCGTGGATTCGCAGGCCCAGAGAAAGTCCGCCCACTCCCAAAGGAAAATTGTGATGACTTTTCATAATTCAAGGTTTCGCCTTGGGCATCGCCAGAAACAAGGAACCTTTCCAGTATAGTTGTTTCCCGATCACTCAGGTGTATCAGGATTCAACATAAATCAAGGTTTCTCCTGGACCAGTTCACGAGAGGGAGTGAAGTAGAGAATCCCCCACACGAGGAATCAATCAGCAAACCCCCCGCATCTGGACTCAAACAGTAAATCCTTGACCGAAGGATGTAGGTAGTGACTCATCCAATGCTGGTTCAAGCAGCGATTTTTTCACACCAGAATCTAAGTAAATCGTTGACGCGATGATTTAAACATACATGTACAAATTTCATTGCTAAATCGCCTGTAAAGGCATTATCAGAGTGAGGCGGCCGAACGGTCATTTACTGTCCTTGGATGCGTAGTTGAAGTTGGGATCCACGGCGAGGATTCTGCTTGTTTTGTTGCGCCGTCCCCCCCGCCACCCGGCCCGCGACCCACCCGCGACCCACCCCGCGACCCACCCGCGACCCAGCCCGCGACCCAGCCCGCGACCCACCCGCGACCCACCCCGCGACCCCTCGCGACCCACCCGCGACCCACCCGCGACCTTGCCGCGACCCACCCGCGACCCACCCGCGACCCGGCCCGCCCGCGACCCACCCGCGACCCGGCCCGCCCGCGACCCACCCGCGACCCACCGTCGACCCGCCCGCGACCCACTTGCGACCCAACCCGCGACCCACCCACGTTGCTTTCATACGAAAATCGGCGCCTGCGGCGGGCTCGTTGTACGGCTTGAAAAATGATGCGCCTGTGGTGGGCTTCTTCAGAACCCCGCAGACTGCCGACGTCCTGCTGCCTCCTCACTCTTGTCCGCAACTGCGGGGGGCTATGTTACCATACGTCTTCTTTCATGAGCCCTCTGATTAGATATTTTGTGCACCTCGACATTCTGAGTGCAAACTTCAACAGCCAGAGTGAAAAATCAACCGGTGGATATCGGATAAACACGGATTATTCCGCCAAGTCTTGTTATAAAAGGTTTCAGTCGGAGGACGAAGAGAAGGAGGAGGAGGAGGAGGAGGAGGAGGAGGAGGAGGACGAGTTGGAGGAGGGGGGGGCGGAGGCGGAGGTGACGGAGGAGGAAAGAAGGACGGGTATCAGGAATTGCGACGCCCAGGAGGAATGAAGGAGGCGCACGAGGCCAGATTGCGCTGCGATGCGCAGCTTAAGTATGTGTTAGACGCGACGCGACGTGCCATGTAGGCATGCGTTGCATGGCCGTCGATGGGGGGCAGATTTGCTCGTCGTGGGGGCCGTATCTGCTAGAGCGAGCGCGTTCAAATTGGTTTGGGCGTTTTACAAGTGCAAAGTAACTTTACAGTCGAGGCGCTGAAGAAGGAACCCTTTTCGTTGGGGAGGGGCTCGGTGTTCCTTGATTGTTTCACAGCTTGCCTCAGGTTTCCCTTATGCTTTCGATGGGACATCGAAGTTTAACTTGTGGAGAAAAAGGGGCCTCGTTCCTTAGTCAGGGTTCCTGAGGTCAACGCCCCGACTGTGGTATCCTCAGCTCTCTGAGGCACTTCGTTGTCCCAATGGCGAGGGGGGCGTTCCTCGGGGGGCGGGGCCCTTATTTCTCGCTCCTTAGGTCAACGCCCCGACTGTGGTATCCTCAGCTGTCTGAGGCACTGCGTTGTCAAAACGGCGAGGGGGGCACTCCTCGGAGGGGGCGGGGCCCTCGGACATCCCTTGCCGTCCAGCGCCAGGCGCCCGCGGCGCGCGCAGACGGGGCCGGCGCGAGGGGGGGGCGGCCTTCTAAGCAGGCGGGCGGCTCCTCGGAGGCCCTCTCTGAGGGCATCCGAGGAGCCGCCTGCCTTCTCGGAGGCCCTCTCAGGGGGCATTCCTCGGGGGGCGGCCTTCTAAGAAGGCAGGCGGCTCCTCGGATGCCCTCTCAGAGGGCCCCTCTGGCCAGTCTTCCAGTCAGCAGGCGCTCTTGCGATTCCCTTGCCCCGCGCAGGAAGGAGCTTGCCTCTGCGGGGAATCCAAAGGCTTGGCATCGCTCGGACGTGTGCATTGTTCCTTCGGCGAGGACCATCGAGGAGCATCCTTGATCATTTCGCGAAAAAAAAAAAACACGCACGAAACCGAAAAAAACACAGGGAATGGACGTCCGAGCGGTGGCCAGGGATGCCCTCTGGCCAGTCTTCCAGTCAGCAGGCGCTCTTGCGATTCCCTTGCCCCGCGCAGGAAGGAGCTCGCCTCTGCGGGGCATCCAAAAGGGCCGCCCGCACTTTTGGCCCATCGGCCCCGTGCGCACCGCCTGCGGGGATGGGCAGCGCCAGAGCCATGGGCAGGTTCTGGAACCCTCTGCCGGGGCTCCATGGTCCCGCCCCATCCCCCGGCGAGACTCGGGATTCTTCCCTGCGCGGACACTTGCCCCTGCTGCGCTCGCCCAGCCCGTGCCACAAAACCCGGTTCAGAGCAGGCTTGCCGGCGTTGGTCCAGAGAGATGTCTCTGCATCTGGCGTTGCCACGACGCCCGCTGCCCGCCGGGGCCGCCGCCGAGTCTGATTCAGTTGGGAGACGAAACACACAGGCACACATAAGAGGCGTCGAGCCCCGGCAAAAGATTCGGACATGTGGGATGTGGGGGGAGACGAACATCCAGAACACGCCGTGTGTTCTCTAAAACAGGGGAATCCGTGGACTTGCAGACAGAAAAATCCCTTGATCCCCTTCCTGACCTTCGCCGGCCGGGGGCCGTCGACTCCTGGCAACATATCTTGAAATGTGGGATGTGGGGGGCGGGCGAGCATCCAGAACACGTCGTGTGTTCTTTGAAACAGGGGAGCCCTTGAAAAACCCTTGATCCCCTTCCTAACCCTCGCCGGCCGGGGGCCGCCGCCGCGGCCACGGCCTGCCGGTCGGCCGTCGGCCGCCCGCGCGGCGCGCGCGAGGCCGCCTTCGCGGAGCTCGTGGCGCCGCCGGCGGACGCGGAGGGCGGCGCGGGGGGCGCCTGCGAGGGCGGCCCGCGGCGGCCGCCGCTGGCGGTCGTGGCGCCCTCAGGCCGCACCTTCGGGGAGGAGGGAGGGGGGCGAGGGGGGCGAGGGGGGCGAGGGGGAGGAGGGAGGAGGAGGGGGAGGAGGAGGAGGAGGGAGGAGAGGAGGGAGGAGGGAGGGAGGGAGGAGGGAGGGAGGGGGAGGGAGGGAGGGAGGGAGGGAGGGGAGGGGGGGAGGGAGGAGGGAGGGATCGCCCTGGGGGAGGCCGGGTTCTGGAGGGAGACGGGCCTCTCCTGGGGTCGGTCGCCGTGGTCGAGCCATTTGGGGCCCCCTCCGCGGGGGCCCCGGGGGCCGTCGGGAAATGATCCGGGAGGAGGGGCGGGGGTCCTCGGGGGGAGCCCAGGGGGCTGGGCCTCGGGGGGGGAGCTCCCCGGAGGTCCGGGGCCCGTTTCTCTCTTCGGGGTTGGACAGGCCTCATCCTCCTCCTCCTCCTGCTCCTCCTCCTCCTCCCCTCCTCCTCCTCCTCATCCCCCTCCTCCTCCTCCCCAAACCCCCCATCCCGCCTCCCGCCTCCTCATCCCTCCTACTCCTCCTCCTCCTCCTCCTCCTCCTCCTCCTCCTCCTCCTCCTCCTCCTCCTCCTCCTCCTCCTCCTCCTCCTCCAGTTTCGGGGGTTGATCGACCTCCTACCCTGACACGTCGATTGAGGAGTTGGCCGTTTTCGGTTCGCGAGAGGGCGTCGCTGCCGTTGTTTTTGCGTGTCCAGGTCTGTCGGTTTCGGTCCCAGGCCGTTTTCACTCAGGGGGGGTTTACTAAATGGAGGTTTGTCCACCGCCGATCTCTCAGGACCCGTTCGCTCTTGCTCAGCGGGCGGAGGGGCAGGGGATATCATAACAGGTGGCACGGGTGCCATGGCTCTTGCACGAAACGGAGGAGGAAGGAGGAGGGGGACGAAGGAGGAGGAGGAGGAGGAAGAGGAGGAGGAGGAGGAGGAGGAGGAAGAGGGGGAGGAGGGGGAGAGAGGGGACGAGACATCGGAGAAGGAGTGCCCGCAGAGGGCCGCAACAAGGGCGTCAGATGGCGAACTCGAGGAGACAGGGGCGGGGGGCCGGGCCGGGAGGGGGCGGTGCGACGGCGAAAGAAAGCAGTCGGGGCGGAGGGGGGCGGGGGGGGCGAGGGCACTGCGCCGCTGGGGTATAATAACAGCGCGGCGCAGGGGAGCGCCGTGTGTCGAGTGGTGTCTCACAACGCCGAGGCAGGGTTACGTAAGAGGGCGGGAGGGGGCAGGAGGAGGAGGATCACAGGCGGGGTCCGGGGGGGTACTGGCTCACGGGGGGACGCATCTACCCCCCAATCGGCCACTCTTCGCCGACAGGGGCCTGATAGCCCACCGCGCTCAGGAGCTTCCGGATTCGCCATCGAGGGCATATCGCAGTTTGATCGTTGACGTATCGTTGATTCCAGTTCGATGTTTCCCTCCCTGAGCTGGCCCCGCCTTATTGTTCCCCGTCAGAGAAAGGTGAAGGAGGAGGGGGGGAGGAGGAGGAGGAGGAGGAGGAGGAGAAGGAGGAGGAGGAGGAGGAGAGGAGGAGGAGGAAGAGGAGGTGGGAGGAGGAGGGGGAGGGAGAAGATGCAACAGCAGTGATGGGAGGAGGAGGAGTGAGGGCGAGGCAGACGACGGGGAGGGGGTGGACTGCGGGGAGGGGGAGACGACGGGGAGGGGGTGGAGGATGAGCCGGAGGAGGAGGAGGAGTGAAGGCGAGGCAGACGACGGGGAGGGGGTGGACTTTGGGGAGGGTGAGACGCCGGGGAGGGGGTGGGAGGGATGAGAAGTGAGGGATGGGGAGACGACGGGGAGTGAGGGATGGGGGAGACGATGGGGAGGGGCTGGAGAAGAGGGGACGGAAGGAGGAGTTGAGAGGAAGATGAACAAGAAAAGGAGGAGGGGAGGAGGACATGAACTTCTCTTGTCCACTGAGGAGGTGCAGCTCGAAAGCGCATGACCCTTTGAACACGCTCACAAATACATAGGCATACCAATATGTATATACACCTATCTTTATATCTACACATACTACACACAAGCGTTCTTTGAACACGAGTGGCTTCCAATGCAAAGAAGAAGCGCGACGCTTGCCCCTCACCAGAACAGGCCAGTCGACGGGCCAACATGCTGGCTTCTCGAAATACTTCGCAGCCCGTGGAGAGTCTCGGCGGGGCCACGAGCATCGCTGCTGTTTGGGCGAGGACACGGTTTGCTCCCTCTCCTCCCTCTCCTTCCCCTCCTCCCTCTCCTCCCCTCTCCTCCCCCCTCCCCCTCCTCCTCCCCCTCCTCCCTCCTCCTCCTCCTCCTCCTCCTCCTCCTCCTCCTCCTCCTCCTCCTCCTCCTCCTCCTCCTCCTCCTCCTCCTCTCAAAGCATGCAGGCCCTGGGCGCAGCAGCACCCCCGCGCCTGGCCTGCAGCAGCGCCGATGCCTCCTGCTCTGCCTCCTGCCCTGGGTCTGGGCACGGGAGGCCCCGCCGGCGCTGGCCTTACGTCGGGCTTGTCCTTCTACAGGGGGGAGATGCCCAACTAGTCAAAAAATAGTCGGGGTGATTTTTTTGTTTTTTTTTTCCGCATTTTGGATTATGTTTTGACTTTTTTCTGTTGCCCAGAATCCCCCTGTAGGGGGACAGGCCTGACCTAACACTGGCCGTCCGTGGAGGTCTCGCCCCCCCTCCCCGAGACGGAGGGGCGGGGGGCCGCGGAGACAGGCACGGGGCGAGGGGGGCCCGCGGCGAGGGGGAGGGGGAGGGGGAGAAAATCGCAGTCGGCTCGTCGGGGCACAGGGTCCGCGCCCGTTGCCCGCGGTGTCTCTGGCCCCCCCCTGTCGCCCAGGCACGGCGGCGCTGAGCATCGCGCTGCGGGCGGTCGGCGTGAGGCGCTCGGTGGCGCCTGGTCTGCGCGCGCGCGTGCGTGCCCGCGTCAAATGCCTGCGCACGTCGGGGAAACAAAGGCTCGGGTTTGCCGACGCTTTCTGACGAGCGCGTCCTGGAGTTTGACGGTCCGGTGTTGGTGGGGTGTTTGCGCCGGGAGCTCGCGTCAAATTTCAGACTGCGTCTCGTCATGTTCTTGAGGGCATCGCCAGGTTAACCCGAGTCCCCCGTACCCGAGTCTTACGTCTCCTGGGGCGTGGAACGTGCCGCTTTTGCGTTCGCGTCTATCACCGCACCTCTGTCCGTGCCCTTGTCTCTGTTGGCGTCTCTAGCGTTGACTCGGGCTTGTACTTTTACAGGAGGAAAAATTCGAAAATAGTATAAACATTGTCTGGGGACGATTTTTGTGTTTCGTATGTTGGAGTTTTTTTTTGTTTTACAGAGTTTGTAATTTTTCGTCCAACATCCACCTGCAGGAGGACACGCGCGACCTAACTCCAGCGTGCCAGACCCGGCCTCGTTTCTTTCACGCGCCGTCGCCAGGAGCGGAGGTTGGCGCAGGCCAGCGGAAGGAAAACGGCGGCGGGTTGTCGCCAGTGGATGGGCGGCGGAAGGCAGCGAAAGCAAAAGCGATACGTCAACGTGTGTGTGTGTGTGTGTGTGTCTGTGTGTGTGTGTGTCTGTGCGTGTGTGTGTGTGTGTCTTTTCTGTGTGTCTGTGTGTCTCTGTGTGTGTGTGTGTGTGTGTCTCTGTGTCCCTGTGTCTCTGTGTCTCTGTGTCTCTGTGTCTCTGTGTCCCTGTGTCCCTGTGTCTCTGTGTCTCTGTGTCTCTGTGTCTCTCTCTGTCTCTGTGTCTCTGTGTCTCTGTGTCCCTGTGTCCCTTTGTCTCTGTGTTTCTGTGTCTCTGTGTCTCTGCGTGTGTCTGTGTCTCTGTGTGTGTCTGTGTCTGTGTCTGTGTCTGTTCAGGGAACCCCACGGCGCTTCCTCTGCCGCAGCCGGTGACTCGCCTGAGTGGGCCGGGCTTTCTCTTTCCCTGTCGCGCCTGGGCCTCCTCCCTCGCGCATCGCGGCTTTCATTTGCATGCGGTGTGTCCCGTGTTGCCTGTTCGCCGTAGCAGTCGCCCTCTACCCAGACGCCAGCGCAAAAAGTAAGTGTGTCCAGGGTTTGCGGAGTCACTTGTGTCCGCGTGTTTGCCTGCCTGTGCGTGCGCGTCGGCGCGTTCATCTTGCATCGGGAGGCCGATCAGATCGACGGGTGGGCCTAGTGCAATGCGATCACGTGTCTAACAGTTGTTTCACACGCGGTGCGGGCGTCGGGCACGGAGTAGATTCCACAGGTTTCAGACCCAAGTGATATCGTTACTTCTTGACATTGCAGGCTTGACATTGCAGGCCCTAGTCCTCCGCTCCGAGAGGCACCAGATCGAAACGAGAGAGGTATAGATTGTGATAGAAGGCGCGTCAGGGCTCCGCAGAGGTTTCTAGCGGTCCTGATGACTTGTTCTAAAAAGTGCCCTGTCGGCGGACCCCCCTGATCGTTCCAATTGTTCAGAATACCGGCGTTGGCCATTATCCGTTTGCCTACCCCTGGAGAGCAGTTGCGCCAACAGCTCCGCAGAGATGTCCAGGCCAATCGGTTTCATGTGGCTGGCATTCAATCATCTGTGTGATCGTCATTCACTGTTGTCCGAGCCTTGACCTGGACTGAACCGTGGTGCCCAGTCTGGTGCAAGGGCTTCAAATCGAAATACGTTTAGCGAATCCCATAATATTGGCTTTTCCGTCTTTTCGGACGGCCCCACATTATATCGAACATTCGAGAGGGGGGTCTGATCAGTCCTGCATATGTGCGCCCGACGCGGGTTCGACACTCGACATGGACTCCATGCGGGTTCGGTGTGGAGTCGACGCGGATTCGACACTCGACATCGATTCGACGCGGATGGCGGCGCGATGGGGCAGACAAGACCTCCCGAATATTCAGTTCAACATATGCCTCAAGCGCTTGACCCGTAATTCCGCGGGCGCACGACGCTTGGAACGTCGACGTCAGGAACGCCGACGGGGGGAGCACGGCCCAGGGGCACATGCAATGACCCCCAATCGCTCCTGCACCGCCATTCGGGGCCGTGGTGTGCCCCATCCCGCTTTCACCAGAGGCCTGTCGCCGACCTGTCGGCGATGCGTCGTCGGTTCCAAGCCAACTGTTCCCCTCCGAGCCAGCCCCCCCCCCCAGACATGTCTTTGGGGGGCCACAGGCGAACCCTACCCCTACCCCCCACGATTTCTGAGGGGGAGGGTGGGGTTCACTTCGCTCGGGAGCTCCCGAGCGAAGTGAACCCCGCACGCCCACAAGCGACCCACACGCGCTTGCGCCGCAGCGCGGCAGAGGCAGCCCGCACGCTCGCCCACAAGCCACCCGGGCCACACGGCACTGCGAAGTGTCTCCCGCACACGAGAGGAGGGGCAGAGGAGAAAAGACCGGCCGCGGAGGGGGGGCAAGAAGAAGATGAAGAAGAAGAAGAAGAAGAAGAAGAGAAGAGAAAAGAAGAGAAGAGAAGAGAAGGGCAACAGCAAGAAGAAGAAGAAGAGGACCGGCCGCGGAAGAAGAAGAAGAAGAGAAGAAGAAGAGGGCCACAAGACCGGCGGGGGAGGGCGCGCTCCCGCGGCGAAGCCGCGGCGGAGCGCGCGGGGCGGGGCGGCCGAGCCGGTGCAGCAGCCCCTGGCGGCGGGCGCGGGGCGGCACCCCGAAGGCTTCCCGGGGGGCGGGTCCAGCGGCTGCGCCCGCGGGCCGAGGCCCAGCCAAGTCGGGAGGGGGGGGAGGCCAGAGCTGCGGGGGCCACGGCAGTCCTTGCCAGCCTCGAACGTATCCCTATCCCTAAGATTTTACACGCCAAAAGGCGGTGACAATCTTAGGGATCCGCCCTCGAAGAATAAGGGAACCCCTAAGATTGGCATCGTGATGAGGAGGTGCCCAGCATAGGGATAGGGGATATGTTCCAGGCTGGTAAATTCCCAGTCGCCAGAGTGGGAGCCGTTGCGGCCGCTGGGGGGGGCTGCGCAGGGAAGCTGCAGCGGCGGATCGGGAGCCCGGATGGCTGGACGGGCAGGCGACGTAGCAGCAGCAAAGGCGTTGCGCGTTCGCAGCGCAGTGCAGGTCAGGTTGGGGGCCACGAGGAAGAAAGAAGCGAAGAGGCTGGGCGTAGGCAGTACGGCCAGGAAGGAGCCGCCCCCCCCCCCCCCCCCCAGACATGCGATGTCCCGATAGTACACGATCCCCAGAAGTCCTGGCCCTTCCCCCGGGACCTGTTTCTCATCCTGAGTCATGTTTCGACGGTCCCGGCCCCAGCGAGGGCCCCCACAGGCCCCAAACGACGAAAAGTCCCGTCCTGCTTCTTCTAGGGGAACGAAGAATGACATAAACATAAAACAGACTCGGAGGTCCTCGCGGATTTCTTGGATCAGCGTTGGACCCCCCTCCCCTGGCGCGCGGAGCGCGCCAGGGGCGCCACGCGGACCTCCGAGTTTGTACGGTTATGCCATTATTCGTTCCTTGTTTTCTTCCTTTGATGTCAATAGGCTCATGTTTCTGCCATTATGGTTGTGCTTATGTTTATTGTCACGATGTCATGTATGCCATCATGTTTATGTTTATGCCACTCCTCGTTCCGTTCTTTCTTCCCAGATGTGGGCATGTCTGGGCCGGTCCCACCGCCGCTGAGGTCAAGGGCAAGGCCGTCGTGACGCCCAGCAACACGTTCTTCGCCACGCAGGCGGTCTGCTCGGCTGGCGAAGCGCCGAGGAGGAGGAGTAGGAGGAGGAGGAGGAGGAGGAGGAGGAGGAGGAGGAGGGGGAGGAGGAGGGGGGGGAGGAAGAAGGAGGAGGAGGAGGAGGAGGAGGAGGAGGAGGAGGAGGAGGAGGAGAGGAGGAGGAGGAGGGGGGCGAGGAGGAGGAAGGAGGAAGGATGAGGAGGAGGAGGAGGAGGAGGAGAAGGAGGAGGAGGAGGGACGGTGAGGAGGAAGGAGGAGGAGGAGGAAGGAGGAAGGAGGGAGCAGGAAGGAGGAAGGAAGGAGGGACCAAGGAGTGGGGAGTATCATGAGCGACGCAGGGCAGCGGGGCCAGCATCCTCCCGCGGCGTGGTAGGGCTCAACCCCCGATCCCTTGGAGGCGAGCCGGGGCACCGGAGCGCAGGAGCAGGTAAGACGTAAGACGCCGAGGGGGAGCCGAGCAAACGCCGAAGGGGGGAGGACCTCGGGACGGCCAGGGGGAGCACCTCAGAAGCACCCCTGCAGCGGCGGCCAAGAGGGGGTCGACGGCAAGGGAAAGTCTTGACGGGATTTGTGGCAGCATGGGCCTTGTTGAAAAACAGGTTGTAGGATGTTTGACATTTCGTTTGGGGAAGGGCAATGTTTCCGGGCAGCTCGGATCTTATGCCTGCCCACCATTTCTTTGATCTCAGCTCGATCCGATCGTTGAGAGGGGGAAACTGTGGGAGGGATATCATGGCGGGGGCCATCATACCTCCCCAGATGTCATATTTCATGGTGCCTCTTCTTGTCTCATTACGTCTCCCGGCCCCCCCTGGGCCACGCACGTGCCGCTGGCCGTGATTTGCGCCCCACCCCCCTCCTGGACACCCCCCTCTGGGACGCTCCCGTTCCCTGCGTGATGGTGGGGCCGCCACACAGACAGGAGGAAGAGGGGGACAGAAAAGAAGAAGCAAGGGCTGGAAGGGCGGAGGTCAGTGAAGCTCAGGGGGGGCGGGAGGGGAATAGCAGCGGAGGCGGAGGAGGAGAGGGCTTGGCTTCACGGCCCCCTCGAGCGGGTGGGGAGCGAGGCGCGGATCGTGGCAGTGGCGGGAGGCGGGATGCACAGCGCAGTAGAAGGCACAGGCACAGCCGTGTGGCGGGTGCGCAGGCGGGAGTTGAAGGGGCACGCAGGGAGGTCAGAGGCAGACGAGGAGGGACGTGAGAGGAGGAGGAGGAGGAGGAGGAGGAGAAGGAGGAGGAGGAGGAGGAGGCGAAGGAGGAGGAGGAGGGGGAGGGGGAGGGGGAGGGGGAGGAGGAGAAGGAGGAGGGGAGAAGAAGGAAGAGGAGGGGTAGGAGGAGGAGGGTGCGAATGAGTGGCGAGCAGGACGAGCAGGACAGAGAGAGCAGCAGGAGACGGGACAACCGGCGAACGCCAGGTGGCCGTGGAGAACGCTGGCGGTCACATCGTTTTCGCGGAGTGCGAGGCTTGCGCAAGTGAGCTCACGGCATGGAGCCTCTCTCTTGATCAAGTGGTGTGCAGATCACTGCATATCTTGGCATGGCTGTCTCCAGGAAGGGCCACCCAAGTCTGGGGAGCGCAGGCCCGGCCCCTCCTCGCTGGGGCAAGCGAGAATCGGGTGTGTAAGAGCTGGCGGAGCTGCGGCGGAGCTGGGCAGGACGGTCCTAGCGGTAGAAACTGGGTCACTGGTTAACACAGGTCATGGTAATGAATGACCGCGCATTCTTGAAACAAAGCATTGGCAAAGCGATGATTTCCTAAAGCGAGAAACGGATCTATTAAATTGTGCCACCTAATCGAAGCAAGGCAAAGCATTATTTTGTAAACGCCAAAACTGGTTTATGACATCCAAAAACGGATGTTCTAAATCCGGGGGCCGTTTTTCTAAATCCCAGATCCTATCATTACCATGACCTGAGTGGCTGGATCACTTGGGGGCAGGTTGGCGGAAGTCGGGGGTAAAGCCGCATTCCTACAAAAGAGCGGTTCGGGTTGGCGCCACTGGAGTTCTGGAATTGGCCATTTTTAAGCCCGCCAGACGAGCGTCTGTGTTTCGCGCTGCGAGCCAGGACCTTCGTTTTGCGTGCTGGACTCCTCCAGCGCAGAGAGCAGAACACATCGTCAGTGTCGTCAGTCTCGTGCTCGGGGCGAGCGGGAGTGCCACTCGGGGCGACTCGTGCTCGGGGCGTGCGGGAGTCTGACTCTCAGACGAGGTGCCATTGCCAGAGAGCACATGACGTCCAGGGCAGGTGGTGCGGGAGGCGACTTGGGGTCTGTATGTGTATATATATATATATATATATATATATAAGGGGGGGTCAAACCCCTAGAGTCCGAGCAGCCACCAGGACGTGCGGCACACAGGGCCCGTATCGGGCGGGGGAGTGAGGAAACTTGGAGGCCACACAGGGTCCGCGCCATACCCTAGCGGGTCGCAACGCAACGTAGCCGCGTATGGCGCTGCTGTGCGCGTGCCTTGCACCCAGTGCGTTGCACTGTGCAGCAAGGCACGGGCTCGCAACGCATGTGATATCATGGTGTTGCACCGCATCGCGTGGCGAATCACTGAATCACAGCACATGTGGCGGTGAGGACATGTAGCTTCAAAATGGCGGGCCCTTGCGCAGAAGGAGGCAGAACACACTCGGCGGTCACATCATGATCTGGGATTCTAGTCGCACCCTTGCCCGGGTGCTCCCCGTCTTCGCCCCCTCCTGCTTTTGGACGCTTCCGTGCCGTTGCTGACGCTACCCTGCCGCCGCCTCCCTTGCCCGTCGTTCTCTGCTTCCTGCTCCTTGTGTTGGCAGTCCTGCTCCTCCGCATATTCCTAGTGCTCCTCCTGCGGCTATGCCTCCCCATGCTGCTGCGCGGTCTCCTCCTGCCCCCTCTGTTCCCCAATCGGTCCTTGTACTGAAGGGGTCCTATAGCGGAAGTTGAAGGATTCGGCGAAAGTTTCCCGCCGACTTTGGTCGCACGCTGGGTTCCCGGGTTCCCGGTTCCGGGTTTCCGGGTATTCCCGGTTCTGGGTTTCTGGGTTTCCGGTTCCAGGCTCCAGGCCGATTTCGGAGGGCGGCGAGGTTCCCGGATTCCCGGGTTATTGGTCGATCGTCTTATCGATCGGTCCCACCATCGATCTCATTACCCATTTTTCTGTCGATCTCACCATCGATCTCACAATCGATCTCATTATCGATCTCACAAGCGATCTCACTAGAGATCGCATGAGCGATCTCGCGATCGATCTCACGATCGATCTCATTGAGTCGATTTCACTCTCGGTCTCACGATCGACCTTGTAATCGTCCTCACTATCGATTACATTATCGATCTCACACTCGATCCTAATCGATACACACATATATAGACCCCAATCAATGTTTGCACTGAAGGGGACCTAGCGGAAGTTGAAAGACTTGGCGAGAGTTTCCCGCCGATTTTGGTAGCAGGCTGGGTTCCCGGGTTCCCGGGTTCCAGATTCCTGGGTTCCCGGTTGTTGGTTCCGGGCCGATGTCGGTGGATTTTGGGTTCCCGGGTTCCCGGGTTCCCGGTCGATCTCCTCAGCGAAAGCCATCCATTGATTGGGGTGTTTCTCTGATGTAATGTAATTCCACATTGGAGATGCTCTAATCTCGTCCAGAATTCGAGTTCCTGTTCATTCGAGTCCCATATTCGAGGCCCAGCCTGGCGACGGAGAGGTTGAATAAGGCAGAGGTATCCCCACATCAATTAGTTCCACGTGCGTTGTTTGCAGATGATATCGCGGGTGTTCAACCAGCAGGTTTTTGAGATTGTCGTCTGGCCCGTTGTCAGACCAGTTAGTCGCCAAACTGATGGGGGCGGGTGGCCCTGGTGCATGGCGCATGTGTCGCACAGCGTCCAATGTCGCAGTTCTCTTCTACACTGCTGGCACGCCGAAAACGAGGGGGGCGGCCGAAAACGAGGGCGACCCAGGGGGCCAGGGCGCATGCTCTGAGCGCCGCGCAGCAGGACAAGAATGAGCCAGCAACGACGCTGACGAATTTCAGCGGTTCTCTGTGGACGTGGACGGCCACCGTCCGGCAGCATTGTCGTCCTCCCTCACAGAGTCTTGTTCCTTCTTTGCCGTCTCTGCCGGTCCTCCCCTCCTCTTCTGTGCACCCTGACGTGCGAACTAGGCAGGCGAGCCGCCACGAAACTGCGCTTTTGTGCCAAACGCCATGCGCACTGTTTTTTGTTCCTGTGGCGCGCCTCTCGGCCCCATGCTGGGGACAGTGTTTCCATCCCGGGTGCATTTGTCAACGGTCCTAGGGCCCGAGGGCTGAAATTTGGGATCTTCGTCACCCTGCCCACTCCTTCCACCCTCTCCCTCCCCCCCCTTCTACCCCTTTCTCCCCCTCCCCCTCCTCCTCCTCCTCCTCCTTCTCCTCCTCGTTTTCCTCCTCCTGTTCACACTCCTACTCATACCCCTCCTCCTCCTCCTCCTGCTCCTCCTCCTCCTCCTCCTCCTCCTCCTCCTTCTCCTCCATCATCATGCCCCCCCTCCCTCCCTCCCCCTCCCTTCCCACCCCAGCCCTCGAACGCTCAGGAGGCCGAGATCCTCGAAGCCGCCCCCCCCCCCTCCCCGAGCGCCCCTCCCGCGAGAGGCGGAGTACATGCAGCTCTGCCCGCGGGCCCTGCGCGCGCTCCTGGCGGCCCGGCCCGCGGGCTCGGTGGCGGCGGTGGCCCGGGCGGGCCTCCAAGAGGTGCGCGCGGCAGCGAATGGCGCGGAAGGAGGTGACCGCCAGCGCTGTCACTAGCGCTCTCAGGAGGAGGAGGAGGGGGAGGGGGAGGGGGAGGGGGAGGGGGAGGAGGAGGAGGAGGAGGAGGAGGAGGAGGAGGAGGAGGAGGAGGAGGAGGAGGAGGAGGAGAGGGGGAGGAGGATGGAGGAGGAGGGGGGGGGGAGGGGAGGGGGAGGAGGAGGAGGAGGAGGAGGAGGAGGAGGAGGAAGGAGGAGGAGGAGGAGGAGGAGGAGGAGGAGGAGGAGGAGGGGGAGGAGGGGGAGGTGGTGGATGGATGGATGGATGGATGGATGGATGAGGAGGAGGAGGAGGAGGAGGAGGAGGAGGAGGGGAAGGCGGAGGAGGAGGAGGAGGAGGAGGAGGAGGAGGAGGAGGAGGTGGGGGATGGATGGATGGAGGGAACGCTTGGGGGTGGGGCGATGGGTCTCAGTTAAGGGAACAAAGAGTGGCATAAACATAAAACCTCGGAGGTCCGCGCGGATTTCTCGGATCGGCGCTGGACCCCCTCCCTGGCGCGCGGAGCGCGCCAGGGGCGGTGCCGGAGGCGCCGCCGGGGGGCCCAGCGCCGATTCGAGAAATCCACGCGGACCTCCGAGTTTTTATGTTTATGCCACTTTTTGTGCCCCTATCAGTGCCAGGCCTGAACATCAAAGCGCAATGCTCTACATGCCGATATGGAGCGCCCCCTGCGTGTCACATGAAAGCGGACGAGGGGCTAGGAATTCTGTACCGCTTTTTGGCCCTCTCGACGTGTGAGACCCGAGCTCTCACGTCTGAGTGGACCGTCGGCAGAGACGCGTACGCATTATCCCGCCACTTCTTTCCTCGTGTACCTACGCCTCCTCTCACCTACCCCATCATGGGGCACGGGGGGGAGGACGACGCAACAGCCTATAAGCATGCGTCAACATCCCTCGGGCTGTCTCGCTTTCCTGCTGCTGCAGGAATCGAGTGAGAGGACAAGGAGGGAGGGAGGCTCGGAGACACGGGGGAAGAGACAAGTGTGAATTGAACTGACTGGCATCTGGGCCCCCTGATTTCCCTCGACGCACTCTCAGGCTGGGCTCAGGAGTCTAATGCCTCTCTGCTTTGCTATAACTAGCTTGCAACTTGCAAGCTGGCTCACCTGTGCACTCACTCACTGGGCCCCTTCAGCCCTTTACTTTCGCTCGCTGCTGCTTCTCTGTCACTCGTACCAGCTCGGACTTCGGTGCCTGGCCCATCATTCTCTCGGCACCCTGCTAGTGCATCCTCGTGATGAAGGCCGAGCGCACCTGCTCTATCGTCGTTGCCTCGGAGTTCTTTTTCGACAGCTCTTCATACGCTCTGAAGTTCGCCCACTTGCTGAAATGGACCGTCACCTCCGTTTTCTTCTGTTCCTGCGGCTGGTCCGCCTTGGTGCACGCGTCCTTGAGCCTGCAGCCCTTGACTTTGTCGCTGGCTACCGACCTGCCCTTCTCGCTGTTGGCCATCTTCAGCCACTTCGTGACCACGTCCTCTGATGTCGGGTATAGCCAGGGCCCAAGGTACGGGGACCTGGTTAGTAGTAGGGCCCCGGAGCCCCTGAATTGGCCAGAATCACTAAACCAGGTCAGCCTGGTGTTTTTTCGGGTGACGGCAGTTCCGGTTAGTGGAACAGGGCGGGGGGGGCGTCCCCCAGTACACATCATTAAACCAGGTCCAACTGAACCCAGTTCTGCCAACGTTTGATGATTGCGTGCCCTTCAGGTCGTCCATCATCGTCTCGCACTCTGCTGCTGCCACGTTGTGATGTGGTGCCCCCCCTGCTGTGGCCCATGCCCCCATGCCTCGATCCTTCACCGTCCTTCCTGGCAGTCCGCCACCGCCTCTCTGCCTGCTTTCACGCCCGTCGCCCTGCTCGGGCATAGTCAGAAATCGTGATTTCCGCTGCCGGCTCGCGACTTTCTCATGTGCCTCAGGGTCTCGCCCTTCACCCCGTCCCGCTTCCGCTGCATCCTCCTCGTCGTGGCTTGTGCTCCGGCTCCGCGCAGGCTCCGCGCATCATTCGAGTGGTAGCCGCCAGTTGCTGTATCCCTCTCCAGCTCCTGCGTTGCGTGATTACTCTTCTCCGCTGCCTCCTTCACGTTCGGTGTGTCCAGCCAGTCAGGGATACGCTTGATGTCGCCCATGAATGTTGCCAATCCGTCGTCCACCTCCTCCTCCTCTTTCATAGTGGGGTTCCTCGCCCGTAGTCAGCCGTAGGAGCTGTCCTGCGTCTTGAGGTTCAGATTCCAGCTCTCGACCAGGGGGTTGCAGCAGTCGTTGAAACCTATGGGTGCGAGACAGTAGCCCATCTGACTCCCGCTCTTCGCCCTTAAACTCACCTCCTCGTCGCTGCCCTTGATCACCATGTATGCATTCTCGATCGTTCCGACTGCAAAAGGAAAGCCCTGCTCCTGGCTTTGTTTTTTGGCGATATGGTCCGATTTCTCTCGAGCCGTACATCCAAACACATCCGTACCATCGAAGTTGGTTGTAATTGGTCATAGATGGTACTCGCCCTCTGCAGCTCGTACTGCTGTTCAGCGCGTCTTCTCTGCATTTCTTCGCCAAGCCTCCATGCGCCCAATATGGTCAGGAGACCTCCAGTGCCCTTATGTAGATACCGATGTGGAATCCCATAGACCAAGCGCAGATGCAGTGCAAGCAGCTTCGTCTTAATGTACCTTCCTTGTCATTGCGTTCGCCTCTGCTACATGATAATGCACTCACGCAATCAATCTGAACAGCCTCGCACGTCCCGATCTGAATCAACAACTCCTGATACCTTCTCTGAAACAGCTCGGAACTGCAGTTCAATGCTTCAGTTCCTACTCCAGCTCGAAAGTGTCTTGTGTAACTCCAGTGGCCCGCTTCAACATCTTCTGCTTGTTCACGAAGCAGGTCGGCTCCCAGTGATTGTCCAGGACTCCATCCCATGTTTGTCCAACGTATCCGCCCTTTGTTGTCCTGTAGTGCCTCCTCCTCTTCATCTTGTTCAACCTGTCGCTCGCTTCTTTCGGTTCAGTCGTGTTTTTGGTGGGCCGTTCGATCACCACCGCCACCGCTGTAAACAACCCCAAGGCTGGATACGCTCGTCTCTTGCAGGTCTTTCAAACATATCTGACATTCGCGTGCCGATCTTCTCTCACGTCTTCGCCAATTCCGCATCTACTCTCCTGGTAGCGCCCTCGCCGTCTAGTCCTGAGCAGTACTCGCGCTTCACCTGCTCGTAGTCGATAATCTCGGCCTGCCAGCCTTCATTATTTCCGTTCTTCTTCAGCTCGTTGCTCTCTTCCCGGGTTTCCATGTTTGTTCGCAGCGAGTTTAAAAACATCTCTTACGATGTCCTCTTTCCTTCTTTCCGCACCACTGTACTGACATCGTAGGGCGTGCATGTTAGCAACGTCTCCATTGCCTGTCGCAAGAATAATGGCGTCGACCAGCTCCTGCTTCCTACTCCTCTCGCGAATGTCACTCTTCTGCTTCAACGTCGCTGTGATCTCCTTCACTCTTGTGTTGATGCCCTCCCATTCCTCGTCGCCGCTGCTATTATGGCTCGTTTGTACTCTGAGCGCCCGTCGTTCATGATGCAATTGCATGCGATAATGAGTAGCTGCGACAGGGAAGGCTTCCTTCCTGTCCTCCGAATTGTGCGATAGCTTCTACATGCCGTCGGGTGCGTGTCGTATTTCAGCTTGTGTCCGCTCCTGCTCGTCGAGCTCGTGCTGTGGCTCCTCGACCCTCCTGCATAATTAGTATCTCTGGAGGCCCTTCCGCAAGCACTGCATCAACTGGTCACGATCCACTCGCGTCAGCCACCTCTTCCCTCGCAGATCGGTGCTGCACCGAAGAACCAATGCCACTGGTATGTGATCGCGCTGCTCTCGATGCCTACTGGGTTGGAGTCGGCGCCCTGCTCTTGGTAATGTTCGGCCGTCTATAACTGCGCCAGCTGCTCCATCAGGAATAACAGTGTTCGCCCTTCTCTCCAGAACATATCTCGCCAAGCTCGGGCACGAATGTTATCTTAATGCTCAGATGTGTACTGAGGCAGGTCTTCCGAGTCTCTTGACCGTTGCTGTTCTCAATTTTCGATTCGCTTCCTCCAATTGCATTGTTGCGGGTAAGCTCCGTTCCTCCTGTAGGTAGGTCCCCTTGCCATACCTAAATCAGGAGTGCAGCTTGCACACCAAATCATAGTAGTATGGCCTTGCTTGTCACACATGTGTTCCACCCATGAGGAAATGCGCTTGGCCAGCTGGTCCAAGTACTTCTTGCCCACTGTCGCAAAGTATGTGCCTATCCACAAAAAAGTCCACATCGTTCCAAGCTTCAGTCGTATTGCAGCTGCACGTCATCTCAATCCGACTGGTGGGTGGCGTTGGTTCCGGCATTTTCTCGGCAGCTCATTTGATATGAGGAAATTGGTCCCCCAGTTGTAGTTCGTCAAGCAGCTTCTTCGCCATCCGCAATACATAGCCCCATGATTCGGCAGTTGCTGGATCGCTGTGGAATGTTGCCAATCCGCTCGTCGGTTGGTTCTCTTCAGTGTAATCAATTGCCATGTATTCCAATCCTTGATCGTATCTTCGCACCTCTCTCCGTGCACATTGTGCACCATATTGCGCTATACCCACAGGCTGTATCAGGGAAAAGAATAGCACCTCGCCGAACAGCATCACGTCGCAGAACTCACCTGCGCCACGCCGCCATCCCTTGCGGTGTCTCGTGCCGCGTCCCCCTGGACCAGGACTCCGACACCTGGAGAAATGTGTGTTACTCCCGCCAGCTGAGCCGCGCCGCCATCCCTTGCGGCATCTCGAGCCGCGTCCCTCGGGACTAGGACTCTGACACCTGGAGAAATGTTTGTTCCTCCCGCCAGCTTACAAACAAGCCTTCAGCCTGGTACGCCAGCTGAGGAGGAGGGAGGAGGGAGG